GCAGAAGGCTAGCGGTAGTCTTGGCCGCGTTCCACCTTTAAAAAATGGTCGGCGTGGCTCATCACTTCACAGGGGGCCGCTGCTGTCGTAAATGTCGATCGGTTCGCTCGCCCGAGGACCGGCGTCTTGCGAGCTTTTTCGTCGAAACTCTCATCTCCCGACACGAGCACTTGGGCGGCTGCTCGCATGATGTATAAATGAATATTACCACGAGGAACATTATCATCAGCCTCTCATGTGGTAAGCGCCCTTCTGTACTACCATGCCTAACGAGCTCCACCGATGTACTATAAAGTTAATCGGTTCCCTTTAGGTCGGATAAGATTTTCTAAATACGGATCTTGGATTCGGGATGATAGCACAGCGGCAGGGAAGATATGAGGCAGCTAATAAACATACGTTATCTTGATAAATATGCGAAAAATGTGTGTGGCTATGAAAGATCTGTATCTGTACCTATCAATATCTGCATCTATATATAACTCGTATACACTCTACTGTTCTTGCAAAAGAAATAGTGATAACGATTTGGTATTTGGAAAATCCATTACAGCCCCAAAATAAGAGCAGTGGTAAGGTTGTAGTGAATATACAGCAGCTGACAACAACCTTCATAATTATGATGATAATGCCAATCATTATCATCATCATAATCCCATAACACTGGAGATAATTACGATCATAAAGATTATAAAAAACACAAAGTTACTAATAACAATAACACTAATAATAACGGTATTTATCAGAGTCCAACTCGGCAAAGCTCAACGTCATACTGGAAGCCGATCAGTAAAAAATGAATGCATAGATTAAAGTACCTGGTTTAATGTGGGAGGCAGAGAGGAGGAGGGCAGGGAGAAACAGGAGAAAGGGGAAGAAGAAGGCGAGGGAGAGGAGGAGGAGGAGGAGGAGGAGGAGGAGGAGGAGGAGGAGGAGGAGGAGGAGGAGGAGGAGGAGGAGGAGGAGGAGGAGGAGGAGGAGGCGGTGGTGTGGTGGTGAAGAGCGAGGAGGAGGAAGGTGCGACTGGGAATTTAAGGAGTAGGTAAGGAAGAAGGACAAATAAAAGAAAAATGAGAAGGGGGAGCAGAGGGCGAGTGCCAATGTCAATGAGAATGACGAGAGTGAAAAAAAAAACGAAAAAGTAAATGCTCGAATGTGACTATCGTTCATCCTCTTTTTTCTTATCTCCTATGCTTTTCTTCCGGGATATTTAAATAATCTGAACTGAGTAATTTCCAACGACATTTTCTGTGCAACTTGTATAGACATAGTCTATCGTAGGCCTATCGAAGACAAGATCGACTAATCTGAGCAGCGTGTCAACTTCCGTAATCCACAGCACTGATTACGTACTTTCTATTCAATACAGTAACACGTACAAGAGCACTCAGGGACACGTGGATGCGCTTGGCATGGGCGCATCCAAGTAAGAATCATAATAATCAAAGGGCTACATGACTTAACAACTTATTTGTGTAAACTAGCAAGATACGAAAAAAAAACAAAAAAACATAATCACAAAAAACGGTGGACAAACCTTGATAAGAGGCATGTGAACATTGCAGATACTATTCATCGAATATCTTCTGCTGTATATAATCCTAAAATGACCCTACGACCTATGTAAGAAAAGAGAGAGACAACAGAAGGCTTATAAACTTGTCACTCTTTCATCCCAAACAGGAAAGCAAGCATTTATTTCGATCTTTAACCTAAACCAAGCGCCCTTCCAAGGGCTGGCACATGTCGCGCAACCTCCTCCGCCTCGACATCCCTCCCATCCCCATGTGGTTCCTGGGCATCGGTCCTGTACATTCTGCCAACCTGTGTGAAGGATCTCGGAGCTCCTTCTTGTACAGAATATCGGGGGCGCGACAGGGAAAGAAAGGAAAAAAACACTTAATCTTAAAAAGAGGGAAAGAAAGGGAAGTGAAGGGGCAGGGGGGGGATAGTTACCATACACCCGGATCGCTTTCCGTGCCCTTTTCCCTATCCGCCTCCCCGACCAGCGCCGACAACACTACCATCCTCCCGGCGCCCGACACGAGGCCGGACGCGGCGGGAGTGGCATGCATTCGGCATAAAACATCCGGTCGGGAAAGACACGTCACACGGCGGCTCCGAGCGGGTGTCACACTCTTTGCGCTTGTTTGCAATGGCCGGCGAGATATTAGTTTATTGTGACTGCACCAAGAGATCATTTCCTAGCAAGGAACTGTGAAGAGAAACGCGTCTCGGACAATGAGGTTGGATGAGAAGTGAGTGATTGCTATTATTTCTCAGTGACATTCACTCGCTCGCTCTCTCGTGCCATAGCATGTGGATCTTCACTGGCATTTTGTCATGTTGCCACGGACCATTCCGGGAGGCTGCAGTGAAATAATACTTCGACTAAGTAAAAGCCGAATGGATGTAAACCTTATCCAAACCCATTCGTAGAGAACGGAATGCCATTACGCAATGCAACCAATGCCGTTATCATACAGATAAAAGCCTAAGTCTATCTAAAGCCTTCCTCTGGCTTTTTAACACATTCGAGCGCTGACAACCGCTGCGACGCAAGCACCATGCCGAGGGCCCATTGCACTATGCTAGCCTGCAACAACCGGGGAGTGGGTGTGTAGCGGTTGTAGCAGCAGTTTCATGTGGCGGCGGCGGCGGCATCAGGGCTTGGGAGAGAAATGAGGGCAGTACACCAACCGCCGCTGCTGCCAGGCATAGGTCCTGCCGCCGCCACCCAGGTTCCTCCTCCCGCTCCTTCCTTACCTGGCGGATTTGGGGACCTCGGGGAACGTCGTCTGGCTGAGGGCGTTGAGCTCCTGCACCGTCTTCATGGCCTGCGGCTCGGCGGAGATGCCCTGGGCTCGGGTCTTCCTGGCCTGCATTTTGCCCCCTCCCGCCGAGGCGCCCGTCGCGTACGGCATAACACTCTGGAATTTATCCAGTTGCGACCTGAGCTCCACGATCTCGTCATCGCGAACTTTGAGCTTGGCTTCCAAGTGGCGAATAATGTCGTCCTTCTTACAAAGGAGCTCTTGCAATTCTAATGAACCCATTTTCTGAATACACTCATCGGCATCTCTCATGAATTGCGGCATTGCACAGCACGCTCCACCATCACAGTTGTCAAACACCAACTAACCGCACACGAGGTGTCAGACCTGTTCACGACGCCGATCTGCCAGAGGTCCCAGCGCGCTCGCCGTCAGCGGACCGTTCCCCTCGCTCTTTTCCCCTGTTTCCTCCCTCCTCCTTCACCAAACACGAACAAACACCAACCGCAGCCAAAACATAAAAAATGACCCTCCTCTCGGAAGTAAAATCAACCCCTAACATCGAGGGAAACACACTTGTTTTCGCAATTTAGAGAGCGTTTGGAAGGGAAATTGGCACTAGCTAACTCACTCACTCCGTCTGCTCCCTCTCGTGGCGCGACCCCGAAGCAACAGGTGGGGGCGGGGCCTGTCATTCATAGCGTTCTCTCTTTTCACTTATTTACGCTGGAATAACATGCTCTCTCCTCTCAGGCAATGTTGGCCGATAAAGCACAATGAGACTACTGTACTACAAAGTTCTGCATCCATATTGGGTAATACAGTAGTGACAATTTATATTAATTTCTCTTTTCTCTGTCTCTGTCTCTGTCTCTCTCTCACTCTCATTCTCACTCTCACTCTCTCATTTTCACTCTCACTCTCTCATTCTCATTCTCACTCTCTCATTCTCACTCTCACTCTCTCATTCTCACTCTCTCTCTAATTCTCAATCTCTCTCACTCATTCTCACTCTCTCTCTCTCATTCTCTCTCCCACTCTCTCTAATCGTATGTGTGTACGGACTAACAATGTGGATGTGTGCTAGTTCGTGTTCTCCATATTAGTCCGCTGAAGTAGTATAGCAGTGTTGACAAACACTGTGGACAGACAATATTTAGAACTTGTATGTTGCATAGTTACTTGAATGAGAGAGAGAGAGAGAGAGAGAGAGAGAGAGAGAGAGAGAGAGAGAGAGAGAGAGAGAGAGAGAGAGAGAGAGAGAGAGAGAGAGAGAGAGAGAGAGAGAGAGAGAGAGAGAGAGAGAGAGAGAGAGAGAGAGGGGGGGGGAGAGAGAGAGAGAGAGAGAGAGAGAGAGAGAGAGAGAGAGAGAGAGAGAGAGAGAGAGAGAGAGAGAGAGAGAGAGAGAGAGAGAGAGAGAGAGAGAGAGAGAGAGAGAGAGCGTCAGCCTAGAACACGTTATAAAGCCAGTGACGAACAGCCAAGCTTCGCCAACAACGCACCGACGCCACACCATACCAAAGCCGGGGAATAAAATACCTAAAAAAAGGTTTAAAATAGAATAGTATCTATCACTAACATACTGTAGATAAGATAGTGGCGGACTGGGAGGTGCGTTCGAGAACAAGCCTTGCTATCGGGACTTCTAATCGCGCTATCTCTTCGATAGCATGAGGGGGGGGGGGGGTTATCTACCGCAATCAATTTTTAGGCGTGCGTGTTGGTGGGGGGGGGGGGGGGGGCTTTCATGTCGACATCTGCTTACATAATGAGTCGATGAAATGTCCTTACCAGCATTTTGTTCAATGAAGTGCTTTTTCCTTAGTGTTTTTATTTGCGACTAATAACATGCCAGTATGTAGGCCTATATATCATTCCTTCACTCTCTCAAACATCACAGTAACATTACATCAGAAAATAAAAACACCAATAAGTAGAGCCTTAAACACATACTATAAAGCATTTCACCATCAGGATGAATAAACAAACAAATGAATAGACACACCTGGAAACAACTCATCCGAAGCAATAAACCAATTATCCAGAAATTTCTATAATCAGGTTAAGACCCTCTCCGGTTATCTGATACCCCAATGAAGTGGATGATTGCGTGAATGCGTCTCCCACAAGCGGTTTGATGTTGAAATATCACGCTATTTACGATAACAGTACATATAATCACGAATGCTGGACCAGATTAGAAACTTCATGGATCTTTATATATAAAAAAGTTTGATGCAATGTGATGATGATACCGAGATACAACTTTTAAGTGGATTTACTTCGTATTTATGTCACACTTTCATCTATTCAGTTCAACTACTAGTTTCTTTTGATATAGAACTCACTTATATACTAGCAGGATAGTGCTCTATACATTCAACATCTAACGACAAATCCTTGAATAATACATTTTTTCCATATATTTATTTATCTACCTATATACTTTATTTTCTGAGGAAAAGGCATCCAGCAACCCCATTCGTCTTTAACTTTTATGTTTCTTAGTTTTAGAATAAACCTTTTAACAAAATCCTTCCCAAATAGTATTCTCTTCGATTCTTTAAACTAATACCTATAGATTCCGTATTATAAAAGACTTAAAACTAAGCGGACAACAGAGCGAGTGTGACTCCCTAAAATATGCAGCGTCACAGACTCCACTTTGTAAACAAATTCTCCCAGTGCCATCCATCACGCAGGCCAAAACTTTCTCAAACTGGGAAGGCAAGGCGGCACAAAAGAAGAAACAATGAATAAGAAAAAAAAGAGATGGAGGAAGATAAGGAATAAGAGAAGTATAATAATAAGAATGATATTAATGAAGATGAAAATAAAGAATTGGAGGAACAGAACGAGTAGGGGGGGGGGGGGCGAGAACAAGAACATTTTCCTCACATACCGCAACGTCCGAGAACAATGCAAACAAATATAAACGCCGATTAAATGTCTCACGATGTCTGCCAACAGGTAACGGCTGCGTGTGTCCAGGCAGGTAGTTCATAGTTGACTTTCACTTCGCGGTTCCTCGCATGCGCTCCGCCAAGGCAAATGCGGCAGCGAAATCGAAGGCTGTTATTCGCGCGAACCGCAAGCCGTAATTAACACGTGAAGGCAGAACATCGTGTTCGTAAACCAAGTAAACGTATGGTACGTAACAGAACGTGCTATTATTTTCGTTGCGCTTGCAAAATGGGCCTCAACCATGTTAAGCAAAGGCAACCTCTAAAGTCACTAGAGAAATTCTTTGGCAAAGAATTTTCACAATAATAATGTTAACATTATACAAAATAGTAAGCAGAACATGTAAATCACAAATTACATACAAATGAAGCACAAAAAATATATTCGCAATATAAATAATTCATCCATACGGTTATACATTACCACGCAGTACTCTGATCTGATTCTTATTTATGACTTTTTAATTAGAAAAATAATAAAAGTGCCTAAGCCAGAATATCATATTTACTTCAAGGAAACCTTCCTTTCACATTCACTAATAACTATTATGATTTTATTTGATTAATCATCATAGTAAGAAAGTGTCTCATCTTGGAAAATAGGCTCATAACATGGAAAGTAAAATATATCAAACTCCCTCATGAGCCTTACATAATCCACTTCAATAAAAATGCTTCTATCAGTCTTATAAAGAAATCATTATCGACATACATTTGCGTGATGCAGGGAAAAATGAGGAACTAAATATACATGTACACCACCTTGCTCTCCTAACAAGTTGCAGTGGCCGCTGCAATCCACACACATGGCGTCCTCCCGGGGAAACTAAGCAGGTGCCAGCCCTCTCGTTATTTTCACCGACGAATTCTAAACGTTTTCAAATTAACGCTCACCACAAAACACCTTATGCGTCACTCTTGGTACGCTTACTATCTCACAGAAACTACAGTTTATGACTTATTTCAATGAGATAGTTGTGATAGAAAATACCACAAGAATGAAAAATAAATCGCAAAGATCTGATAATGATAATAATACTTAATGAATATTTTGTTAAATTTCCATAGCCTCCAAACATAATAATCAGAATCAATTCAAGAGTCTAAGGATATATCTGCTTTATCATTATGTGTTTTATATTCTTCTGAAAACACAATAACTTATTCTACATCTCCGAAGTCTCCACGCAGCTGCGTCGAAAGCTTTTGTTTTCGACACTGACAGACGAATTAGCAGATTGACAGCGCTGGTCCCTGCCCACAAGTGCCCAGGGCATAGCTGCCCAAACAAGAACGCATACAAGGATTTCCAAAGATTACAAACATATTTACTTGTACAATCATCATTGTTCACAGGAGAAAATAAACGAGGATAATATTACAGATCACAAATAAAGACATTATCTTTGGTGAGAAAAACTTAGAAATTCTAAGAAAGAAACGGGAAGTTTGAAACATTTATAATTAAGGTATTCATAAAGATTTCACTTACGTGATTTAAGTTACAAATCCGAAAACTGTTATTTACACACACACACACACACACACACACATACACACACACACACACACACACACACACACACACACACACATATATATATATATATATATATATATATATATATATATATATATATATATATATATATATATATATATGTGTGTGTGTGTGTGTGTGTGTGTGTGTATATATATATATATATATATATATATATATATATATATATATATATATATATATATATATATATATATATATATATGTGTGTGTGTGTGTGTGTGTGTATATATATATATATATATATATATATATATATATATATATATATATATATATATATATATATATACATATACATATACATATACATATACATATACATATACATATACTACATATACATATATATATATATATATATATATATATATATATATATATATATATATATATATATATATATATATATATATATATATATATATATATATATATATATATATATATATATATATATATATATATATATATATATATTAGATGCTACAAACACACTCATATTTTTCCCTTACAAGAGCGAAATCCCTTACTAGAACGTCGGCTGACATCAGCACAGACAACATTAGCGGAAGCGCACTCGCATTCACGAACCTTATTCACCCCCCCCCCCCCCCAAGCACAGGCCGTGAAGTCGGAACGAGGGGATTCGAGGCCTCGCGGGGGGGGGGGGGGGAACTGTGCAGGCCGTCCATTTCCTGTCCATGACATCACGTTACACCGCCCCCCCCCCCCCGCACCAAAAAACGTGGCAGGCTGGAGATCGATCCATCTTAACGTCCTGCGGAACGCTGGCCCTT